CCACCAGAAGACGACGGTGGATTCCACTTGACCATTTATCAATTGGTTCGACTGGAACATTCTTTGTGAGGCTATTTCCGAGTAAATTTTCTTCGATTCCGGTGAAAATGAGCTAAGCTTTTTTCCGTCGTGTGACTAAGATCATTAGAGTAGAGTATCATCCTTACGGCCATATTCAAGCTAACGAGTGAAGAAAACTCGTTCTGATCTCCTCCTTTATCTATAGTTCACCCAAATTTTTCGCAAGCTAACGGGAAGGCCCTAAATAACAATATGTTTTCATCCTATTACTGAGTACCGAAATTTAATTATCTATTAATCTTAATGGATAATTTATTTTGAAGCAATATATGGCGCAATCTACCGATTTACTGATACCTGCGGTTTACGTCTGATAATTACAAATTCTGTGGCATCTACCTTAACCTCGTATGTATGACTAGATGGGAAATTAATAAGGAAGTCCGTGTGTCTGGTTTTCTTATACGCGTATCTGCCCAACTTATTACCTTCTTTGCTCAAGAATACATCCCGAAAGGGCAATTTATCCTACCTTTCCAATTATAGTGCAAAGTAAGTATTGCAATCTATTATATCAATAGTTCAGGCAATTCACCCAATCTATATTTGCCGTATTGACAAACAATAAAGTAATTGCTTATCAATCTAACTAGTAACTCTGAAACTAAGAGTGATTTTGCCTCATGATCTTAGAATGTTAATCTATGGTTGATTCTGAGGCCTTCATTGCCTCGTTTATCAGAATATTAATGTAGATAGATGCGTCATGGAAACACATAATAGACGATAGGACATACCAAAACATGATTAAACATTAGAGAATTAAACGTTAGTCTATTTGTCTAAGGAAACAGCAGTCATCAAATCAACCTCCAGCTCATGAATTGACTTCGCTCATCTCCAAGCAGGTACATTAAGCTTGAAGTAGCCAAACAAATCATAGGATGCCTCATTAGGATTGCAAGATTAACGAAGATACGAAGGAAACTTAGAAAAAATTAAGCGCCAATTATCCTCATTAAGTAAGTCCGAATTGCTGGCCCGAAAAGAATTAATATTCTAAGCAAGGAGTTAAAATGCTATAATTCGTTTAGAAATTACCTCTCAAACATTCAAAAATATATGAACTAACGATGAAATTAACTCTTTTTGAGTGAAGTGAAGCAATATATTTGCAACAAGGAAATTAAATACTTACAGGGCTGATTTTGTACACCTTAAAATGAACAAATGCACAGGAGAATGGCTCGAAAAAATTGCTTCCCTAAATAAAAAAATGGAAAAAACAACTTCATCAACATAATTTGGTGGAGATCGGTCAAGAATTGGACATAAGACCAGCCATTAGAAGCGCAGGAATTAAACCTAATCAAAATATAAAAATATAAAGATAGTGTAAATATAAATGTTTAATAATCGGCCAAGATATACACACGCCTACATATATGAAGCTCTTCCTTATACATACGATAAGTGGACACTCATAATTTGAGTATATGTGAAGTAATATAGCCTAAATATATAAGTTAAATAATTAAAAATAGATCTATATCAGTCCCGTGGGGTTGATGAATAAAGTAGGCATTACGGGAACCCAGGATTCCGATAATGTTGCAGATAAGAAGAATAACCGGGTTACGATGAATCTCTAAGGATAACCTTGCTGAGGAGACTTTCATTTGGCATAAAAGCGCATGATGAAAAGACTCGTTTGCTGATCTCACCGAAAAGCGAAGGTTGATTACCGTTGTTCTGTAACAGTTTGGCTTTAATACAATGTTCAGGTTGACACAGTCCACGAGATGTCCTACCTCGTTTCGAGTGATACCTGGCTGAGCTTTGTTCCAGCATGTGGCGGATATCATCAGAGCCGGAAGTCTTTATTTCAAAAGTTTCAAGTTAACACAAGGTCAAGGAGACTGTCAGGCTCTGTCTTATATCTTATATATCTTTATAACTAAAAATGAAAATACACAGATATAGTTAGATAGATATAGAATGATTTGTTTAGTACTCTTCCATATTAGTCTAGCTGTCTATATATACTTTCGTTTTTCAGAAAGAAATATATAAAAGATATAAGGGACAGCCGGAGATTTTTTTGACCCAGTGCTAACATGAGACTTTTACAAGGATGAGCCCCGGCTCCGATCATGCCCATTATGTAATGGACGAAAGCTCAGCCCGTTCAACTCGAAACTAGGGAGGATCTTTCGCGGATTGCGTCAATCCGAACGTGGTATTAGAGCCAAATAGCTAAGGAACAATGGGAATCAACCTTCGTTGTGATCAACCAACGAATCTCTTTACCATGCATCTTCATACTGAGTGGAAATCTTCCCAACGAATCCCGATACTGCTGCCTGGAAAAGAAAACAAGAGTTGAAGTGGGCGACCTACCTCAGATAAATAAATTTTGAATGAAGTCTACGTGTAGCTTTTCGTTTCATAAATAAAATAAGAAATTTGGTTAGATATGGAATCTTGCAAATATAAGGAATGATAAAAGTTTACCATCATCTTAACTTTTATTAAAACAAGAATTGTAGCTGAATTTGGTAAGCTACCAAGAATATCGCCCACTACGAAGGCCTCAAATGATTAAATAAAATCGATAATTGATGAGAAAAACGTAATATGGGAACTACTTTGATAAATCAGTGCAAGCTTACTTCTGAATTTGGCTCTGATGAGGAATCCAAGCGGGTACTAAGCTTTAGTTCATTCTCGGCACAGAAATTCTTTTCCAATGCCACTAGGGATGAGAGTGCATGTGGAGGTGGAGATTCGTGGTCTATTTGGGCATAGGTAGACAACTGTTCCATCTCCTCACGGGAAGAAGCGATTGTGTCAACAACTTCCGCTGAAAGGTCAGCTGATCCAGAATTATCAGAAGTGTTAGAGGGGCAAACTTTGATGTCATCGGATGTATCGAGTCCAGTTCGCGAGATATCGATGGACTCTAGCTGACCAGTAGTCATTAAAAGAGGCTTGGCCTCAATTTTCTCTACGAAGGAAGAGCCAAATGATGCATCAGAACGGGACTGATGGTCAGAAGGCATGATATGGGCATGATGAAATGGTAGTGAACCGGATTTATTAGCAAAAGCGTCCACATCAGGTAACGCAAGAGGTAAAGGAAAACAGAGTGAAGTCGATTTTGGTGGTGATTCCGAGTCAACGCAGGCATCGGCAGCATTATAAATAGGTGCACTGAAACCAGCAGCTTCAGCTAAAGCTTCGACAGTAGTGTAGATAGCTTCAGCTGAAGTTGTTGCTTCCATTTCAACCTCTACATGATCAGACGGAGAGGAAAGCAGAGGATCGAAGGCGGTATGAAAGTTAGTAGAAGGAAGTGGTGACAGAGGCATTGGGGACCCTTGTGGTCTAGAGAGGGAATCCTCTATGCAGGAAGACACGTGGAGGTTGGAAGGACTTGCCTGTTGGCAGCATGAGCCAGGCGGAGAATGCAGTGGACTCTCTGTGGAGGCTGGTGGACCAG